AGTCAAATACAGGGGTGAGTTATCGTTTATCACTGAATGGATTTGTTCTTGCAAACTCCAGAGTTGTCTGGGACTGGAAATACCAATTATTTTGCATAGATCAAGTCAGAACATTTGTCATCGTAATCCAACATGATGAAAAGTATACTGCAGAATTGACTCGTGAAATGTATATATCTTAACGCATAAATTATTTGTAATATTCCCTCAGTTGATCGGGATCTGGATATCTTTGGTTGTACGCTGTACTCTGACTGTTGCAAAAATATCTATCTGTGTTGGAACCAATTATTGATTAATTAGCTGATGACATTTTAATGCCGTACTTGTCTTGGTGGATACACATCAGAGCACTCTAGAGTAGCTGCAGATGCTAATGTTGTCACTGTGGTCAGGACTCCAGAGCTTGAAGTTGGGGGCTTTGCTGTTGAGCTCAGTAATGAAGTAGAAGAATGTGCAGTAGTGCTAGACATTGACGTGGTTGGACATGGGCTGGATTGGGTTTCAACTTTACAGGATGCATTGCAGTATGCACTGTAACACCACCCAAGGCCATCAGAAACATTGTATAACAAGTCTCCTGTGAATAAAAGATTATAGAGCAAAGTTTAGAACATTAAATAAAAAAATGGATTCATTACATTTTAAATGCAAGGGTAATAATGAAATAAAGATAAAAAATGTGAATACTGAAGATTTATTATATTAAGATAAATATTACAACCTTTAAAGATTTAGCTGTTGTACTCAGAATTTACAAACGTATTGCTTAATTAAAACTAAAATAGTCTTATCAATCTAAAAGCTGTACAGAGTATCATGAAATGTGGATAAGTTTGAGAAGATATCTGTATTCTCTATTCCTGTAATAATTACCCATATAATGTAATTTTATAAAACTGTTTTGGCGGCCTTGTATAAAGTCCTCAAAAGTCATCTGTAAATCTGATTCCCTAAAAAAAACTACAAGAAGACAACAGGATTCAGTGCCAGATAAATCTGACAAGTTTGTTTTAAATTCTGTAATGAATAAGTCACTGGTGACCAAATTGTTTATGTAGCAGATAAAAAAAACAAAAGATAGTTATACATGTATACATAAGATATATTTTGAAAACGGAAGAAAACAAAACCAATTCCAGTAGTGTTTGTCTACTTGTACAGGGTGGCCCACGAACAAGTAGCCCTCATTATTATAGTATTACTGGCGGCCTTCCGTAAAGAAAGAACTTGAAATGCCAAAATCTTTACTCACTCTTTACAGAAAGTGCTGGAAATGATCCCTTAATGCGTCAATGCAGTTTTGGGTGCGCCTTAACAAATTGTCATCTATGCGACACAACTCTGGGGCACCAATGCTCTGAATTGCATTACGGATATTGTCTTTCAACTGCAGTAAAGTTTTCGGGTTATTAGCGTACACTTTGAAAAGTGTACGAAAGAGTAAAAAAAAAAAAAAAAAAAAGTAGCCCGCCTTCCTGGCACTTTGGCAGAAAGGCGGGCTGCTTTTTCGTGGGCCACCCTGTATTATCTATGAAATTTTGTGATTTTATCAGGGATTTGTAATTTCATGTGTGAAACTGAAAATTTATAAAGGATTATTCATATTTATTACATTAATTAAATCCATCCATCCAAGTTTCTATACAACTTTGTCCCTAGTGGGGTCAGGATACATTAATAACACATATCTGAAAATGCTAAATGTTGAAAATATTATAAAAATAAAGAAAAATAAACATTAGGATGCAAAAGAACATACCAGGATGATGAGATGTTCCGTTGACATTACACACACAAGAACCTGTGGTAAGTTGTGAAGATGAAGGAAAAGTTGCTGCGGTTGTCTGCGTAGTTGATGTAGGTGGATAAACTGTTGTACTTCCTGGGAGTGTCTGAGTAATGGGTGCAATGACAGTTGTAGCACTTACTGGGCTTTCAGTGGTTAAGGAAGTTGTGTTTTTTATGGATGGGTTTGTAAGTACGCTTGATGTTTGTAACTGTCCGGTTATTACAGAAAAAGTTGTTTCAGAGCGTGTAATAAAGGGTGATATTCTTGTAGACTCTGTCTGAATTGTAACCCTTGTTGTACGAAAGGGAGATTTTTGTGATGATACTGAAGGAAAAAAATATGTTGTACTTCTATGATGTGTCGGGAAAGACTCAAATATTGAGCTAGTTGTAGGTGTAGGAGTTAAAGTACGAGTGATTGTGAGTGGAACAGTTACATGGATTGGACCTGTTGTACCAACTTGTGAGGGGTTTGTAGTTCCACTCTTCAATGTTGTTGTTTCTGAGATCGTAGTTTCCACAGATTCAGTTGTGGCTCTCTGGGTGGATGTAATAGGGCCTTCTGTAGTGGTTGTATAAAGAGAGGGCTTTGATGATACCGTTGTAGTTTCAATCCTGCTTGTTGCCTCTGGTACCAAAGTTGTGGTTTCAACAATTGCTGTGGTGGAGAATGTTAATTGACCAGAGGTTGCTTCAACGGGCTTTCTTGTACCTACATTGATTGAGTGACCACGACTTGTAGATGTTTCAGAAGATTTTGTTGTAATTGCTGCCGTGGGTCCGGAGGGTGTTGTTGTGGTTTTGGTAACAACAGAGGGATTCGATGTAACAAGTGTTGTTTCTTGGCTTGTTGACATGATCCCTGTTACTTTAGTTGTGGATTCAACAACTTCTGTTATGGAGCCAGTCACTGGACCTGTTGTGCCAACGTTCGAGGGGTTTGTTGTTCCAGTCTTCACTGTTGTTGTTTCTGAGAATGTAGTTTCCACAGATTCAGTTGTGGCTCTGTGGGTAGATGTAATAGGGCCTTCTGTAGTCGTATGAATAGAAGGCTTTGATGATACCGTTGCAGTTTCACTTCGGCTTGTTGCCTCTGGTACTGAAGTAGTGGTTTCAACAATTGCTGTGGTGGAGAATGTTAATTGATCAGAGGTTGCTTCAACAGGCTTTCTTGTACCTACATTGGTTGAGTGACCATGACTTGTAGATGCTTCAGAAGATTTCGTTGTAATTGCTCCTGTGCTTCTGGATGGCTTTGTTGTGATTTTGGTAACAACAGAGGGTTTATATGTAACAAGTGTTGTTTCTTGGCTTGTTGACATGATCCCTGGTACTCTAGTTGTTGATTCAACAACTTCTGTTATCGAGCCAGTCACTGGGCCTGTTGTGCCAACTTTAGAGGGGTTTGTTGTTCCAATCTTCACTGTTGTTGTTTCTGAGAATGTAGTTTCCACAGATTCAGTTGTGGCTCTCTGGGTGGATGTAATAGGGCCTTCTGTAGTCGTTGTATAAATAGAGGGCTTTGATGATACTGTTGTAGTTTCACTCCTTCTGCTTGTTGCCTCTGGCACTGAAGTTATGGTTTCAACAATTGCTGTGGTGGAAAATGTTAATTGACCAGAGGTTGCTTCAACGGGCTTTCTTGTACCTACATTGGTTGATTGACCATTGGTTATAGATGCTTCAGAAGATTTTGTTGTAATTGCTCCTGTGCTTCCGAAAGGTTTTGTTGTGGTTTTGGTAACAACAGAGGGTTTCGATGTAACAAGTGTTGTTTCTTGGCTTGTTGACATGATTCCTGCTACTAAAGTTGTGGACTCAACAACTTCTGTTATCGAGCCAGTCACTGGGCCTGTTGTGCCAACTTTAGAGGGTTTTGTCGTTCCAATCTTCACTGTTGTTGTGTCTGAGAATGTAGTTTCGACAGATTCAGTTGTGGCTCTCTGGGTGGATGTAACAGGGCCTTCTGTAGTCGTTGTATGAATAGAGGGCTTTGATGATACCGTTGTAGCTTCACTAGTTCTGCTTGTTGCCTCTGGCACTGAAGTTGTGGTTTCATCAATTGCTGTGGTGGAGAATGTTAATTGACCAGAGGTTGCATCAACAGGCTTTCTTGTACCTACAATTGTTGAGAGAGCTTGGGTTGTAGGTGCTTCAGAAGCTTCTGTTGCAATTGCGCTGGTGATTCTGGAAGTTGTTGTGATTTTCCTAGCTGTCATTATTGTTTTTGTGGCATATGTTATTTGTGGGGTAGTTTTGTCCTTCAGTTTAGTCGTTCCTTTTGTTTTTGATGTGATGTTTATTGTTGACGTAGATCTTAAAGCTTTAGAAAAAAGACCAACATATAATAAAACATTTATGGCAAACTTTTCAAAGTCAAACATTATCATAGCATTTTGTAGTAATTATAGTCAGTCTCCAACCTGTGCTAAATTCAAATGGAGTTGTTGTAGGCCCAGCGGTTGTAGTATTCATGCATATGTACATGCTTCTAGATACAGTTCCATTAGCGCCACATTCAGCTGTAATGCAGTTTCCCAGACCATCCGAAGTGTTGTATATTGTGGCACCGAAGTTGTAAGTTTTTCCATTAATTGTGCATGTACATGCTGTAGGTAGATATATTACATTGTTAATCTAAACAAAATAATAATTTCAGTATTAACATTTATTAGATATCCTGATTACTATAAATTTCAACATATACTCACAATCAACACTGTAGATACATATTATCCCAGATAATGTACAGGAGCTTTGAAAAATAGAACATTGTGTTAATCCCACTATTTTTTATTAACTGGTTAAAAACAGAGTGTTTCCTTTTGGATTTTTATTTTCAAAATTTCTCTAAAAATTTATCTCACACAAATAAAAGTTCCACATGTAACTGCAAAATGTAACCTTTACCTTTAAAGTCAGTTTTTTTACATTTTTATTAAAACTGTAACTACGTGGTATGACAGGAGACGGAAAAAAATCACGTTCCTCCTCTTCCTCCTTTAGCAACTATTGCAATGTGCATAATTGCACCACTTCCTGTCAAAAACAACCTGTCAGTGCCAGGAGGAAGATATTCACAAATTAAAACTCTATGTACTAATGTTCACATGATTCCTGGTACTCCAGTTGTGGATTCAACAACTTCTGTTAATCTACTAATGGCAGAAAAACATCTTACTGTTGCAGGAAAATTGCTCATGAGTTCTTCATGGGTCATCATTGCTGTAGAGCCTCTCATTCATGATAAGTTCTACTCTTGGGACAATGCTATTGCCTAGGCTGTGAATACACAAGTATGATTGACAGTACAAAGAACATCTTTCCTTTCTTTTTTCTATCTATCTATCTATCTATCTATCTATCTATCTATCTATCTATCTATCTGTCTGTCTGTCTGTCTGTCTGTCTGTCTGTCTTTCTTTCTTTCTTTCTTTCTTTCTTTCTTTCTTTCTTTCTTTCTTTCTTTCTTTCTTTCTTTCTTTCTTTCTTTCTTTCGCTTATCTGGAGGCAGGTCGCAGGGGTAGCAGCCAAAGTAAGGAGGCCCAGACTAAGGCTGGGTTACTGTTACTAAATAAGACTAAGAACTTCCTCCTGGCTCTTATTGGGTGTTTCTGAATGTGCGGTTTATTTCTCAATAATTACTGATAGCACTTGGAGAAGACAGAGGAGCTCATTTTTTTCTGTCAAACTGACACAAAAAAGTGAAAGTTTAACAAATATGTAAAAAATAAGTAAATAAATAAATACTTTTTTATAGAAGTTGCATACCTTTGCATACCATTGCCTACCTTTGCCTATGACAAATGCCTTAGCTTTGGTCATAGGCAAAAAACTAACAACCCCAAATAAACATTAGATTCAGCAGAGAAGACAATTCAAGAAGAAGTTGTCCAAGTAATAACAAAAATAAATGCTAAATTACAGTTGGGGAAAACTACAAATCCTTAACTAAGATTCACACTATTGTATGAAGCCCCAGATGGAACGTAGCCCAAAATAAAGACCACACAAACCCACAAAGTCTAGTTATATAACCTTATATAGTATGACAATGCATGTATGAATCAGATAGCATACGCAGATAGCATACACCAATCTATTAGTGTTTACTGGACCAGTTATGCTAATACAATGATCAATGTTATATGAGACATACCAAGTGTAACAGCTGTTGGATGGAACCTTCTCGCCTGTGCTGTAATGGATGCCTTTGTCATCATAGCATCCACACTGGTCCCAGTTCACACATTTCATTGTGTCTTCATCAAAGAATGGCTTGGTGTGAGAACACTGTGGATAGCAACCTATGTAATACAAAAGTATATATGTTAATTAATGGGGAATGAAATGTCCAATGTAGGTGTAAAGTGAGGAGTTGACTTTTCCATCATGATGTTTTTACGACTCACTCAGTGAAAACATAACACATGCCTTCTGCAATGTGGAAAAACAAGTCACTTTTTACTAAACATTAGCTTCCTTGCATCTTAATTTTTCACTCTTAATGATTTGACTACTATACATAATATTGTAGGGAAATTAAGTTGTGGTATAAATATTATTTAGTAACAGTAACCCAACTTTCCTTAGCTTACCTTCAAAATACTTTGTCTTATCTGAAATACTGTTTAATAAAATGTGATGTAAGTAAAGTTACAAGTTATTTAACTAGCATGCTGGACAAATGTTTACCTTCCATGTGAGTGATGAGTTTGGTACAGTTTCCTGAGGGATTCCTACATGTCTTCATACAGTCAGCTCCACAAGGCTTGTAATGCCATTCACAGCCACCAGGGGAGTTATAGTAGTCACAGAAAATAGCTAGCAGACACAAAATATGGACCTTTTATATAATTTTTTAATATAAAATAAAGTTTTGCATGACTGGAAACTGCCTGTTTCCATGTAACTAAAGGCTTACTTTAGTGTAACTAAAGCAAGGCTTACTTTAGTGTAACTAAAGTAAGCCTTTAGTTACACTGGCTAAAGGCTTACTTCATTCAAATTGGAATAATTTCATTGGTACTTAAAAAGTCAGTTATATTGAAATATGTATTTAATTTGATTTACATGTGATTTATTTGTGTGCATTTTGAGATTACTAAAGTTTTGAACTGGTGCTTTGTAAAGCTGAAATTATCTTGAAATTAAACAAAATCCAATTTTTGATTTTGTTACATCATCGAATAGCTCCATCACCGTGACAGCAGTTGTGATGGTCAAACTTACGGCACAACTTTGGAGTTCTCCAGCTGATGCAGGCTCCAGCTGTGCTGCAAGCTTTGGCATAGGCAGCCACAGCGGTGCAGAAACACTCACAGTCACCTCCAGTGTCACAAGCACAGGAGTCTCTCACACAAGAATCATAGTATGGGCCAGGATCAACCTTAAACACAAAGCAGTTACATCAAACATGTTGACTTTCTCATTCTAATTATACTCATGTAAGGTATACTTTTACATATTTTGAAAGAAGTTTAAAAGAGGCCAATAAATAGACTTTGTAGAAAAACTACAAATATTCTCCCATCAAGTTTTTCCATGTTTAAAACATTCTAAAATAAAGTTTGTTAGGCTTGTGGTGGAAATTTTATCATGCGGTAAAGTTAAGATATACACCAAAGGTTAGAAGCCAGACTGTCTCTCCACTGTTCAGGATCCTTTATCCTTGGTACAAGACAAATATGTGGACTCTGACAAACTCTACTATGAGCCTTACTCAAAGCTTTTACTCTGTCCTGTTTGAGTGCTTTATATTCTTAAGCATGGTATAACATAAACTTGACTGAGTGGAATTTCATCTAACAGTGCCTGGTAATTTTTTTCTAAAACGGGATGTTTTAGATAGATAAATAAACAGTAGCTGGATCACCATGCAAAGAAAGAGGCAATCTGTGCATGTAGTGATAAAGATGAAGAGAAGAAGAAAAAACTATCTAATCTCCCAAGGAGTGGAGCATTTACAGTTTTTAATTTATGTAAACATGGATCCAATTAGGTGTAGCTGTGCTGTGTGCATGTTACTTTTGCATGACAGCTGTGGAAGGTGGCGCTGGTTATGATGCTGCACTGCTTCTGAGACCAGGCTGCCCGGTAGCGGTTGGAGGCACAGGGATCACTGAGAAGCTGGGCATTAGAGCAACTAGATGACACTTTCCAGCTGTTCCCAAAATCTAAAACATCTGTCACAGTGTCTTGAGAGCGTGTGGTAAAATCATTTTTACTGTTGCCATCGTAGTTCCCACAAAGGCCACACACTTCACCCTGGCATGGTGAAAACAACAGAGCAGTCACAAATTTGATATGATTTGAACTTATCATCATCAGGTACATTACCAGTTCAGTAAAAATATCCAGCATTGATCAGTGTTGGTCTAAATATCAAATGAAATGATGCAAGGATTTGTGTTCATGTGTAAGTATTTTGATAGTATGTTCTTTTATTTGGCCAGCTTATGGTCATCTAAAATAAAACCTAAAGAACCAAGCTGAGATTTAGTTAATCACAACACACACACTTAATGATTTACCTGGAACTGTGGACTGAGAGAAATGAAAAGGCTGGTCTTCTGGTCCCACATGACTACCAGCCCTGATTGGACGGTCACCACCAGGTAAATACCCATTTTTTGTACAGAAACAGGGAGAACATTGATGTTTCCTTTTATAACCTGGAAACTGTCATCTTTAAGATGGAATTCATTATCCTGTACACATCAAGATTACAAAGCAAACAAAAACCACATAAAATGTTAAACACTGCACAGACTCTATATGAAACTTTCTATTTCTCCTTGTATATATTTTGTTCCACATGTCAAAGATTGGCAGGGTTTATGTTTTTCCCAACTCCCTACATACTATTACATAACATGCTAAAAACTTTACATATAAACTCTGGTTTTTGATGAAAGATTAGGACTATGCTAAGATGAGGCGGTGGTATTTTTGCTACAGGTTGTCATGCTGTCAGAATCTTCTCTCCTTGTCCAGCAGTTGGAAGATATTAACAACTAGATCACAGGTGTAGATGGAATGAGTGTGGTGTGTTTACCTCTAGGAAGATCTTAATGGTCTTGGAGCATGTGGTCCCAGTGGTTCCACATGGAACATTCTCAGTGATAATACTGAAGCTTCTGTTTCCCTGACCAGGGCTGCAATAATCCTGAGTGAGAACACACAGTAATACAGTCATAGGATTTCCTTTGTGTTCCCTTCTTATAATTTAAAAAAAAAGTCAATTATTGATATAGCTGATAGTTTTCTCCGCTAACAGGCTCCAGAATTCACTTCTATTGTTAGAGAAAGATTGATTTCAACTCCTCAATATGTCTAAAAGGTGACTGTCCAAGTATGTTTATTATTTATTGTACCAGTGTGTATTAGTGACAGGTTTGTTCATCAACATACATCACATTTAAAGATTTTAAGTCTGACAAATAAACAATGTTGATTTGTCCACTAGCCTTCTTACCTGTAGGAGTGTGTATTCGCATTGTCCACTGAAGTCAAACCTTTTATCATCAAACGTAATATAATGACCATCTCCATAGATCCCACAAACTCCATTGCAAACATTATTGGTACAAGTGAACGTTCGTCCGCTGCATGAGCTGTGGTGACATACAAACAGAAATAAATCAAACAAATATATGAATGTCAGATGTGAGAGCTGGAAGGGAGAGAATTGGCATGAAAGAGTTAATATCTGTGCTACAGTTCTTAAGGTCAAAGGTCATAAATGCCTCAAATACCAGGTGTTACAGTCCACTGTGAGAGTCTGTCCTGGCTGGTAGACGTGTCCATTGTGGACACATGGACAGCTTGTCTCATTGATGCAGCCTCCTGCTCCGTCTGACAGCAGGCCTTCTGGGCACACACATCCAGATGTACAGCCTGTACTGATCTGCTCCCGGCAAGAGTGAAGAGATGTTAGGCTGAACAAGGTGCGTGGATTTACATCAAAATGCTTTTTTGAACTGAAATACTTTGCTGTACTTACACAAGGCATGTCCACCGTGCTGCAGCTCCTCTGACACTCAGCCCCAGTGGTGCCAAGCTGAGCAGTGGAGCAATCAAAATAAATCATGGGGGCGACACATGATGTAGAGGCTGAAGATTGAAATTGAGTGCAGATTATGTTAAAACTACAGATTATGGACTAAGACGTCCTTTGCTAAAGAATGAAATATTGCACTGTTTACAAACCTCATTATAGGTTGCAATTAAGTGTTAGTTGTATAAACACCACAAAATTACCCTCCCATAGATGGATGTAACATACAGAAACCTACTTTGTAGTCTGGCTCCTCCTGAGCAGCTGAGGACCCCATGTCTGCAGACACTGTGGACAAGGCAAACAGAATCAATATGAATTATGAGGCATGTGGGGATGTAGTGATCTGATCCCAAACAGCCTTGACAAGGCATTACAAGCTGACTGCATTAAACTCCATGTTTTTTGCCCTACTCTCTGTCAGTTTACTGACCAAAAGAAAATGGAGCACCAACTTAAAAAAAAATTTGATTTGTTACATGCAGTCAAATAAAGTTTGTCAAATTTAATTTATTTATGTTTGCTTAAATTGACAACTTAGTAAACTTAATCTACATGGACTTAAAGGACTTGGACTTAAAGGACTTGGACAAGTCTTTTAAGTCCCCAAGACTTAAAGGACTTGGGGGCAAGATTAGGGGATTTGCTAATCTTGCCCCCAATTTATTTTTAAAGCACATGTTCTTTGATGATAAAACAGTTCATATTTATGTGAATATGAAAATCTCCAATGAGCATCTGTGAGTCGTTACCATGTTACTCCATCTTTGATGATGGCCTGTCCAGCAGGAATAAAGGTGTCCTTATCGTAGCAGGGGCAGCTCGCACTGGACACACACTGTCCCCCTTCATTCATGTAAGTTCCCTCAGCACAGCCGCAGCCGTCCACGGAGGTGAAGTTGACCTGGCAGGAGTAATCAGCCTGGCTGAGGGAACGACACGTCCGACCACAGGAGGTCATGTTGTACTCATAAACTGTTTCTGATAGGCATGATTCGCTAAATTTTCCTATTGAAAAAATGAGAAAAGGTTCATCAAACAGTCCGATCTACCCAGCAGAAGGATATGTTTCCGAACAGTGAAAACATGTTCACTGATTTTTGCTCACCGCAGATGGTTTCCCTCCAGCCACTGATGTGGACTCCTGCTGCTGAGCAGGCATAGACATATGAGGAAACCGCAGCACACATGCAGTCTTCGCTTTTTTCACAGTTACAGCCGTCGTACATGCAGTTCTGCTCAAACACAAAGTGGACATGGAGAAGGCTGACAGTAGAAGAGTTTTATACACGCTCAATGCTTCATGTTTGCAAACCTACGTCTTTGTATGAGCTGGGGCTGACAACAGAGTGGCAAGGGGCAAACACTCCCAGCGGATCAGTCAATTTGGAACACCAGTACTGTGCATAGTTCTCTGTAACACACAAATATAAATAAATATAATAATATAATATAATAAAAGGTGTATCTTGAAAAAAACAGTAGTATTTCTCTGATGAAAGGCATCCAGGCTGATGTCACTTCACACATAGACATGTTTCTGAGATTTTGGGACTAAGGCTCATACTCAAGCTGCCGCTGATAGTACCAATGTGAAAAGTAGATTTTGTCCAGAAAACCTTTCTACTGATTAATTTGGTATTTTATTTTGGCATCGTGTTTTATCTGTGTATCTTTGTTTTACTTTCTTTAATCTGCATTTGCGATTTTGATCTTTGAATGGTGATATACATAAGAATTACTTACTTACTTATCAGTACTTATCATTTAAAAACTATTGGCCAAGATCTCATTTACTGATTTTTGCCTTCTTCTAATTTAGCTTCCTGTTTCTTGAAAGCTGAACCTGCTAGATGAAAGCATGTGTCTTGCTTTTCTGCAAAAAACATTTTTTAAATATTTTATAGGATTTGCATATGCTGTGTAATCAGACTATGTTAACTTGTATGATCACTATGAAATCTTTCTTTTGCATTTTGGCAACTCCTCAGGGCATGGTTCTATTTGGTTTAAGACTGCTATTTCAAGAAGGTATTTGAAAATATTGTTTGCACTTTAAATATTAACTATGTTAAAATTCTGTCTTTATTGGGAAGGTTATCTTCAACAACTTCAACTTTTTTGTAAGATCATGTTATGGCAAAATTTAAGATTAAACATTGACTGTAACTTTCTGAAAACGGTGCTGCAAAAGTAGTAATTTTAGGCCACAGCAATCACAAAAGCATAACCCAACATCCTGGAGGGCCTGTGGTAAGCTGTGATGACACATTGTGTGTTAGGATCCCGGGTTGTTAGGTTGTTTTGTTGTTTGATTTGATTCTAGTTTCATTATTTTGTGTTTCTTATTTTGTTCAGTCTTGTTTCAATTTTTCTTTAATTCAGTCCTTTCACAGTGATTCTAATTAAGTTTATTTCTTGTGTCTAGTTATGTTTAGTTACTCTAGTTTTATAATGTTTAGTTTGCTTAAATGCTAGATTCATTTCCTAGTCCCCTGCTTACTCTCCCTCGCCTCCTATGCCACTTTCTCTCTCTCTCTCTCCTCAGTCTGCCTCCTGTTCTTGCCATTCACACCTGCAACCCGTTAGCTATCAGCCCAGTTCCTTTGTTCCAGCATTCAAGCTCCCAGTACTTAAGCACCTCTTTCTCAGTTACTCCTTGCTGGTTCCTCCTGTTATTCCCTATAACAGGGGTGGCCAAGTCCAGTCCTCGAGAGCCACCATCCTGCAAGTTTTAGAAGTATCCTTACTCCAACAGACCGGGATCAGCTCTACAGAGGCCTGATAACAAGCCAGTCATTTGATTCAGGTGTGTTGAAGCAGGGATGCATCTGAAACTTGCAGGATGGTGGCTCTCGAGGACTGGACTTGGCCACCCCTGCCCTATAACCTCTCCACTGCTGCTCTGGTTTCCCTGCATTCTTCTCGAGCCTCCTGGCTGGCTTTCTGCTATGGTTTATTTTTGTTCGGTTCTGGAATTTTGTAAGTTTGCTGGTTCATCTTTTTTTTATTATTAAATATTCCAACATCACCTGTTGCCTACCTCTCTGAATTTGGGTTGTCTTTAAAAACATTCAACATAACATTGTGTGCAGGAGATCATCTGTACCTCTGCTAATGTCCTGGCTGCAAGGATCTCCAAAGCGTGGCATGATGTCAGGACAGCTGACTCTGGTTTTCCATGTGTTGGCAAATGCTGCAGCGGTTCCCTCCACAAGTCCACTGATGACCCAGAAGTCATCACTCATTATGTTGTTGAAGTTCCCACATAACCCTGTGGAGCATTGTGGGACAGAGATGAGCTTTTGGAAACCTGAAAGATGCATATTTACATCCTAAATGCATGGAGATGTACCGGATGTGGCTCCTTTGAGTGACACATCAGCTGAAACGAAGACTTGCATCACAGGAGAGAGCTGGACCATCACTTGGATTCCCACTTTGGTGCTTATTACAACATAAAAGGAGGATGGCCAAAAGGCGCTCAGCTCAGCTGCAGAGATCAGAACACATAGCATTCAGTGAGCTGTCAGTACTGAAGCAACATGTCCTACAGGTTTCATTTCATCAACATGTTTATTACAGTTCATTAATATTTCCATGGTGTGTTGTGGTAATAAACTGTCTTCTAACAGCCTGTGGGTTTCTATCTCACTCTTTCTCTGGTGATGTGCCGACATGTCTGTTGTGTCCGAGTTCTCTGATTTTCCTCCATTTTCTGTCATTAATTACCTTCAAAAACTGATCATAGATGTCATACATTTTAGTTCATGCTGCTGCACACTGAATGTCAGCTTAAAAAGGCTGCAACCCTAGCAGAATAAAATACTACGTGTAGATGTATATGGACATCATGTGTGGGTGTGTTAGATGGACATTAATAATAATATTCACTTACATGTAAACAATGGAAGCTGAGAAAGAATATTGTTGACATAGACTTGCCCAGATGCTTGAATTTTGATGACCTGGTATTTAGTGGAAAGACATTTTAGATTGTTAAACATGCATTAATTAGTATTTGGAATAAAATCCTAAATATGTATTGTCTTTCAAAACTAGTGTGCCAGATTATATAAAAGTCCAATATTAATCAAGAGAATTATCGGTTAAAATAATTCACATTGCTAGATGTACCACTCTCAGAAGTGGTACATCTGGTGGTATATATATATATATATAAAACTACTGCTGTAGTTTTCTCAAAAAACTAATAGTTTTCTCAAAAATCTGTGGTCTTAATATTCATATATTTATATATTTTAACTTTAAAGTGACAATGTTAGAACTAGTTCTTACAAGTTCTATCCCAGGTTTGAGTAGATGCTTGTGGGCACAAGCCAATGATCTGAAAGTCTTTGCATTGTGTCTACATGTTATGAAAAACAACAGAAATATAACCCGGGGAGTTAATGTGTCAGCGTCTTACCACGGCATTACTGCCCAGGGCCAGAGTAACGGCTCTGAGACACGTCCTGCTGTCTGTCAGACCACATTTGACCAGGTCCACTAACACAGTGTACAGGGAGCCATCACTCTGCTGCAACACAGTGACACAAAACCTATCAGCACAAATAGCAATCCCAGTTAGAACACACCCATTTTGGTGTGAGCATTGACTGGTTATCAAGATATATAGTGAGTTTAAAAGGTTATTGTTTCTGACTCCAAATAGCACAGAGGGCAACACACACTGCTGCACACTGTTGCTTAGCTGGCTGAAAGATGGCTGCTGCTATCTGTATTTTCTTCTTGTCGCAGAAAAAAAACAATTAGACACCGGGATCTTTGATCTCTAACACAGAAGCCTTATGGGTATCCATCCAAACGTTGGCTCTGTCTGCTTATCCTGGCAGGGTGGAAGAGGCACTGCTATTGGCAGCAGTCTTGTCATTGGGAGACTGGTAGGTACACCCTGGATTTGAACCCAGGACCTTCTTGCTGCAAGGCAACAATACAGCTGGTCCTCTGGGCACCCCCATTACTCACATCAAGTTTTAAAACTATATTTAAGACAACATAAACTGGTTTGTTATCTTTCATTTGTTTTTTTTAATATCTTTCGGTGAACCAGCATGCCTTGATGCTGTTGTTACACTTGTGTAGTTCAGCACTAAATATGTTCATTACAAAATTAATTTAATCATTGTCTAAGCATACAGATGTATAAAGCTCTTTACTTTAGCCAGAACATAGGAGCAGTCTCCGTGGAAGGTGTAGATTTTCCCATCAAAGGTGGTAACGTGAGCTCCTCCCTCCACAGAACAGGTTCCCGAGCAGTTTTCCTCTGTACACGTCCAGTGGCCTTTCTCACAAACACTGTTAAATTCATACGCAAAATTTAGTTAATTGACTAGAAAGGTGTTGGTGTTAAAAACAGTACTGATTTTGCTGTGGTTAACTATGGGGTCCGCAAAGCCCGACTTTCATTTTGATAATCCACTTCCGCTAATTTAGCTATTTATTTATAAGGTAAATATCTAGCTAGCAATCTAGATATTCGTTGCTAACTAAATCTATTTAGTTAGATAGCTAAACTTTTAGGGCCAGTTAAATATTTTATTTGGAAAATAAATATTTCGTTTGAAAATTATTTTAAAAGTTAAATGTTTTGTTTGGCAAATAGATACTCACTATTAAAGTACATATTTAATTTTAAGTTATGACACTTTTTTTTAACCGACCTTGTCAACATTAGCATGAAAGTATAAAACGCATTTCAAATTAATTATTCAAAATATGTCCCCATCACATGGGAACATGCTACTGGCTAACTCAAATTTTCTTTCCATATATGGACCTGGTAGAGTTGCGTATGTTCCCAGCTTACCAGGATCTACAGTTGAATGAGTAGGACTCTCCTGACTGGTAGATCTGGTTGCGATGGAGACATGGGCACCGATCAGCTGCGACACATCCTGTGTTACCAATGTCATCAAACACCATTCCTGAAGGCAGGAGAGATGATAATTAATTTGCCTGAACAATAAATAACTCAGCATGGATGCTCGTATTAAAACAAGAGTGTGTCTTTACCTGCAGGGCAGCTGCAGCCATCGTGGCAATGGCTGTCACAGGTCTGACTGGCCTGTGGGTTGGAGCAGGAGTCCTGACATGGCCGGCTACATTCCAGAAACTCCATGTTGTATGGGCATCGCTTGTCTGTGAAGACAGTTTGTTTCATTTTGTGGTATCAACTCCAGGAAGCTAATCTTAAAACAAAATAGCAAAGAAGGACTCTAATCTTCAGACTGCGTGTGCTGAGCTTACAGCAGAAGGTTTCGTTCCTCCAAGGCTGGGGTCTTCCTCCTGCATGGACGCACTGTCTGGAGAACTCTGAGATGGTTTTGCACAAGATGGACTCTGTATTCTCTTCTGAGTTACACATGTCTGCCATGCACGCCTTGGTAAACGATTCCACATCCAGGAGGTTCTGGCAGCTGCTGAACGGATCGTTGGTGAAGGTCTCCTCACAAAGCAGCTGGGGGTGAAAATTATAAACACTTTCAGTCTGTGGTCAACTCAGTCCATAGAGGCGTCTGGTCAAATAGGGGCTGAATGTAAACTGTTTCATTCAACAGCAGAATTGGAAACTCTAAATCAGACACTAACTGACATTAATATGTGACTGATGATGATCTGGATCATTACCTTATCCCCACAGCTCCGGGTCGGGCTGAGGTCGGGTTCCACACACGTCTCAGTGGGCCCGTTTACCTTGTAAGTCTCAGCCAAGTCCACTACAGACAGCACAGCCCCTACAGTCAGTCACACAGTAACCATCCTGTCACAAACCAGCAACTACTCTCACATCAGATGTGATTGTAGAATATTTAGCAAGGACAACCCAAACTTAGTGTGTATCAATAAGTAAATTAATTCAGCAAACTAAGGAAAAACATAAATATAATTTCCATGTCTTTCTGAAACTGAGATATTTATCCAGATTTCTTAAATAACTAACTGAAAGAACAACAGACGGTTTACAGTATTTTCTCATCATAATCTTTTATAAAGCACAAAGACATTGAAGCACATTATTTTACAGACAAATTAAATTCCATTAAAAATAAACTCAGAGCTGCAGAAAACATTAACTTTTTCCCCAGAAACTTCAGCCCACAGCCAAGGAAAGCTTAAAGTGGATTCTTTTTAAATCTGGTGCTGCCTTCTCAATCCTAAAGTCTATCATTGGGAAAAGTACAGAGTTTTTCATGGCATGTAGAAGCTAATTTAATTGGAATATTATTTTAAATGGACTGAACTTATATAGTGCTTTTTCCAATCATTTTGACCACTCAAAGCACTTTACACTAGAGTCACATTCACCCATTACACAGATTAGTAGACAAGTTGGGGTTAAGTGAGGAAGCTGGAATTCAACCTACAACCTTCTGATCACAGGACAACTACTCTTCCCACAGAGCCACAGTCGCCCTTACCAGCAGCAATGCTGAGTTACCATTAAATGACCTTACCATCTTTTATAAAATCATTAGCTATCCCATCAAAGTTTCCACAAAGTCCACAGGTCTGGTTCTGATATTTGCTATCCAGCTCGATCTGTAAAGATACGACACATAAAGAGATTAAGTCATGTGTGACGTGTGAGCACTAAAACATGTTCATGGAGGAATATACATATCAGAGTTTACTGTGAAGAGTCTTCCTAGCAAAGGTGTACTATATAATGCAGACATTTAGTTTCATAACAACAAAGGGCAGAGCTATATATGCTCCAACATAACTGACACATTTGTATTAATTGTAAAAGACTGAATAACTTTAGCTTGGAAAGACTTAATGATGTGCTTAGTCTGTTTGTGTCCTTCATACATCTAAGGAGTCATCCAGATTCCAAATAGCCTTGATTCCAAGATTGGCTTCAACAAAGATACTGGATGTGGTCCTTTTGATTGTCACTCCGAAGGCAACAAGTGGCAGAGACACCCTGCAGCAAACACACAGGATCAGGATGAGCCACAGAGCAGAAGCTAAAAAGTGAGGAAACATTTTGAGGCAAAATAATTCAACATTAGACATAAGCAACATCAGTCAGCAAACATGTTCAGTAAACCCTTCCATTTTGACTTCAAGATCTTTTAATTGAAGAACTTTAACATTTTACGACAAGTTCTGAGAAACCACAAACTTTAGGAACAACCCTGGAAAATAAATAAGAAAGAAAAGAAAAGAGAAAAAGAAAAGAGAACAAGAAAAAAGAAAAGAAAACACAAACGCTTTTTCTTCTGTCTTATTAATTGAGCTTTTTTGCTCCTTTCTAAGCAATGCACATAACATTCTGTGTTGTGTCTGCTTATAGCGTTCTACATGAACTCTGCAGAGGTTTTACTGTGCAGGTGCAGCAGACAGAAGATGAGCAGCTGAAAACAACTCTGTCACTTTCTCCATCTTTGTTTCAAAGGGATCCTGGATTTTTAACTGGCTAAGACATTTTTTCACCTTCTAAACTTAAAAACATAAATCAAATTAACAACAGTAATGCCATAGGTAGATCAGAGATGTTGGTATGAGGCGTATGTGAGCAGTGAGACTGTAGCATAGAGAAAAACATTAGGATTTCATGTCAGATATTCCAGCTCTAAGTTAACTCAGTTCTCTATTTGCTTAAACCAGAGCTATCCAAACTGTTTGCGCTGTGGGCCAAAATCACCAAGTTGAAAGCATTCAGGGGCCATATTTTTTTCCACTTTAAAATCCAAAATGATTTTATTGTAAATATTTTATTTTGGGGATATAAACATGAAGATGTTGAAATTTTCTCAGATGTTTTCCTTACAAAAAAAAGAAAGGAGTTCAGGTTTTTGGTCGAAGTTTGATGACTGAGTGCTTAGAGTCTGTTGAGTAAAAATGAGCTGGATGTTTGTGGCCTGAATTTAATGATATTAAAATCATAATTACTGTGTGTTGTACCAAACATTTTCCATAAAAAAAAAAACCCTGGCATAAACTAAACCTTAAACGGATCTGAAAAGCTAAGCTGTTTAATAACTTAGACACAAGTTTATGATTAAACTCTTAATATATATATATCAAACAATGAGAATGATGAACAGCAATGAATGTAAATATGCAGTTGTAACTTAACCGTAGCTGTACCTCTTCCTGCAGAGATTCAGTCTGTGGCAAACATGACATGAACCAGAGATGAAATCTGGACTGAACTCACTTCTGGTCGTTGAATATGACGGAGCTGTTGGAGAACTTCACCACTGAGCCATCCAGCTTCATGGTGATGCTGCTGATGGTGGCGGTGTTGTTGACCAGGCCCCGCCTCATCTGGATGATGAAACTCTCATAGCTTCCCCCGCAGTGGGAGACCAACACATGGTTACAGGTGGAGGCCAGCTGGAAGAAATGCCCATCGAAGGTCTTGAAGTGATAGTTTCCCCAAGTTGTGCAGACTCGGTCAAGGTGAGACATGTTGGCTGTTGAATGAGAATGTTAGAAAGAAAAGAATGGACAAACAAGTTGATAATACTGATAGTAGTAGTCAAACCCCAAAATGCTGGTGTTTACATGGTTACCTGAAGTCAGATCCAGTGTCTGAAGAGCAGGGGCGATCGTTACTGTGGTGAAAACAAGAAATTATAACTGACTAGTTGAACACATTATTATATATTTTGAATATCAGATATTTATGCTTCATCATCAAATCTCAGTAAATAAAACCTGGGTATCTGTGAGGTTCAGTTTAAAATATTTTTCCTTTCTATAAAAACACGTGAATTAGTATTAAAAGTAGAAGAAAATTCTCAGGATAAAACATTTACATCAGACACCCGAAGCATTTTTATGTAGAATTATCTGAGCTGTTAGTGAAGCTGTGAAATGTGTTACCAGTCTGAGACAGAGAGCCAACCAGCAGAGTCAGGAAGATGAGCCATGATGTGGGCTGCAACCGTTGGGAGCCCATGTCCGTCCTACGGGTTGACTCAATGACAGAACTCAATGGGAGAACAAGTCCTTTTATAATATTCCAGCAAAGGTGGAGCTGGATGCACACAAGATTACAAACTGTTTACTCAGGAAGCATGTTTCTTCTTCCAGCTCCTTCTACACCCCAAGTAACATCTGAGTAATAGCTGCTGATCTTTACCTTTGATAAAAAAAGAAACCACAGCTGGTGCTGTCTGGACCTGTTTTTGTTTGTTTGTTTTGCTTTGTTACCAAAATAAAATGTACCATATCTAAACGCTTGGACTGTTAAATTTTCAAAAACACGAGGAATGAAACAAAATCAAAGACGCTACACAGTTTCTGTCTTTTAGGTCTATGATCAATTAGATAAATTTGTTTTTGTCCGGAGTGCGCAGAAATGAAGGAAGAAATAGGATGCACAATATTTCAGCAGTAATATCAATATTGTCCAGTACCGGGGGCCATGTTGTCTGTGGTGGACTGCTGATGTGGACATGTTGTACTTTCCTCCTGCTTATGTCATTAATCTATGTTCAACCACTGTGAGAAAACAACGATTACTTCTGTTTTGAACCTATTCGTTGATTTAGAAACTACGTTGGGATGCATGCTTTCCTTAGTGTTTGCACTGTTCCATTGCTTATGTCGCTGTGCATATGATGGTCCTCTATGGGCATAGGCGTAAATCCCGGGGGGGTCCGGACCTCCCCAATCTTGGAAGAGTCTAGAATTGTCCCCCCCCCCCCCCAAAAAAAATCATGAAAGATTGTATTTAAACAATGTCAACAGAATAAAGGCGCTGCTGAACGGCACAGGCTCCGTTAGAGCCGCTGAAGTGAGGAGCTGGCTGTTAGCTGTGGCTCTGTAGCGCTAACATAAAAAACTCTCCAGTAAGTAAATACTTAAAGCAAAAGACATATAACCCATTTTATTTACTTTCACTGCCCAATAGAGTGAAACACATTAATAAAAATCAGAGTGCAATTTGTTATTTCATTACTTTGGCTGAATCATAATAAACTAACGTGTTATGCCTTGGAAGAGGCCAATTAACTTGACAGTCATGTTTTTGGATTGTGGGAGGAAGCCGGAGTACCTGGAGAAAACCCACGCATGCAAACTCCATGCAGAAAGACCAGGGCCTGGAATTGAACCCAGAACCTTCTTGCTGCAAGGCAACAGCTCTACCACTGTGCAGCCCATCCCAAATATTCAATTCCTACATATTTATAAGTTTTAACATGGAAAAAAAACTAAAATAAAAGTTTAAAGCAACTTAAGTTATAATTTAAATAACACATGACTTGTATTGAGAACCACAGCAATAAATCAATATTTATGAGGAATTTTATTAAGTGGAGTTACTTATTAAAACTTGTCAGAGCCTTAAGTTTTTGTAAAGGTGTATCAGAGATTAGATCTGTGACTCTGAACCACTCTCATATCTAAGCAACATTTGAATCTTAGTTTGACTTCTATGGGTCTCAACAGGTTGTTTACTGAGAAAAACACTTTTGTTATTAATTGCTACTTACTAGTCAGTTTTGATGGTGCAGCTTGAACACACAAAAAAATATAAAGCACATTTTACTATAACTTTGCTCACCCCCACAAAATTGCTCTTAAAAAATGTCCTTGTTTATGGCCCCCCCTTCCCACCCCGCCAGTAATGAAATGGGATCTACACTCTTGTCTCTGGGTACTCTGACTTCCAGTCCAGAGATATACCTGTTAGGGTATGAGTGTGTGTCTGCATGGCTGACCTTCTGTGTTGTCCTAACTTCAACCCCTAACCTCTAACCCCTAACCTCTCCAGGGTGAACACTGACTGGAGACCACTGACCCAATGACCACTGCAGGGATAACCAGGTACTGATAATAGTTTGAAGTTATTTGCTAGAATTTCTGAGGTACATTTGCCATGTTGGAAACTGAACTCAACTTGACGTGTGGGAGCCTGCGTCAGTGAGTGACTCAGCTCCCTCAGTGCAGGATATTCATCCTGTGGCGCACATTTAATCGCCTAGCCCTGTTAACCTGGAGGGATTACATGTATCAATATGTGATATTTGTTGTGTGATTCTGTTTCTAACATTTTGAATTCCTCTTTTAATGCAACAGTCTGAATGGCGGAGTTGTACTTAGCCCTAGAAGTTCTATTTTAAGAGTAATTATTTTTTGAATATGCTTTCAAGATGATTTTACAAAGTAAATGGGTGCATGCAATGCGTCTACGGCTGTTTTGATCCATTAGAAAGGTTCTGTACTCCTATCTTGAATAAATGACATCATGAGTTAAGCTGTCAGGTCACATCCTTTTCTCTCCTTTGGAGTTTCATATGAACAATATAAATGTAGCATCAACTTTAATGTTTTACAGCTGTACCTCATAACTTACCATCTCCATACAGCAGAGTAATTCTTCTGAGAAGGAAAATCTCCAACATTAACTAATCTTTGAGACAAACAGTTAGGAGATGGCTTTGGACTATTTTAAAACCTCTAATTTTCCTCATTTCAATAAATATTAATAATATAGGCACTTTATTAAGGATTTTTTCTCTTTGTATGTCTTTCTGAGAGACATAGATCACAAACTATTCCTAACATATCAGACTGGATTAAATCTGCATTGTAAACATCCTTGTTTAACAGGGATTTCATGGATCCTTTTTCTCTCCACCCTTTAGTTCATGAAAGATCTGACTTAGGGATGTTTGCTGTGTGGTACCGCCTTGCCCAAAGGTAGTGTGTTCTGTTCAGCGCCATGTTGTTTGGTTTCTTAGCAGTGCCCTGCTGTTTCTTTGAGAGCTTTATGTCTAAAGTCCTGGGCAAATACCAAGGGTTAGGAGATCAACTGAGAGCAGGATGTGGCTGGAGCCACTGAGTAAAGACGCAGCAGGTGTCTGGGGGAAATGGGATTTAGCTTGATGTCAAGAACTTCCTCAAGCCAAGCTGGGAGAATCGGACACAGAAACAGATACCTGCACAAAATTCTCATACTTTGGACGGTTGGCATTTGAACAACATTCCCTTTACTAAAATAAACTTGTTGGAGACACTTTGATAGTTTGCTTAATATTTTAATGTGATCTCACATTTTGGAAACAACATAAAATTCTGACAACCATTCTGTTCCCATGCTTACAATTTTTAAATATCTAGAAAAAGGAGTTCTGATCAGATGGAGAGGAACAGCAAAAGCAAAAGCAAATGAGGTGGATTAGCAGAGTTGCCAACAAATGACTGTCATCAGGACAATTTACTGTGGATGGAACTAGGGATTGAACTAGACTCTTTTGTTGTCTGTCATTTTGATCAGTCATAATAATAATGACATATTCAGTTGTATAATTTTTGTTCAAACAAGCATTGTAGACCAACGTGAAACTTTTTGGCTGAAAACACTCTACATCTCACTGATCTTACTGAACATCCCCAGTATCATGGTGGTGGCAGCATGGTGCTGCAGGGATGCTTTCCTTCATCAGTGATGGAAGACTAGAAGAAGCACAAGATGAGACTGGGATGAAGGTTCATCCTCCAGCAGGACCACAGCCCTGTACATTCAGCCTGAGATATTATGGAATGGGTTAGATCAGAGAAAATAATGTGTTTTAATGGTCCAGACAAAGTCCAGATGTAAATCCAGTTGAGCACCTCTTGTAGGACTTGAAGATTTCTGTTTTCAGATGCTCTTTGTTTAACCTGATTGAGTTTCAGCCATTTTGATCAAAAGAATTTGTAAAGCCGGTAAACAAATAACTCAAAAATACTTAAGAGTATAAAACATGTGGTTCTGAAGTAGACTGAGGAATTAATAGAAATGGGTGCTAAACCATTCTGAAGCCAGAAGGTGGCGTCTATCAGAGCCTCACATTCAGGGAACTACCTCTGACGCTGGTCAGAGGCAATGGAAGCTACAGAAACTCAAGCATTGGTTGACAGCTGACCAGCCAATCAACCAATGCTTGATTAGCTGGTCAGCTAATCATGTGGAAGACATGGGTTTGTATCCTGTTTGTCTGTTGGTTATTTTCTTGTGTAAATCTTCTGATGTTTTTGCTATTTATAATACAATTACATTTGTTCTGTCCTGTGAATTGTATAGTGAGGTGTTTTTTGTGTTGTCTTATTACATTGTTCCAATTCCTGCATATTTACACTGCCAAAATTTGTGACAAAGTTGATTAATGTGCACTATCCGAGTCAAATAAATTAAATGCAAAAAATATATAAATAAGCACAATAAAAGAAAGTATTTTACTCCTGATTCAGAATGTTGCAACTTTGTTCTGATCAATTGTGTACAAATCCATGATAGCTTATGGTGGTAATGTGAAAAAGCTCACGGGGTTTGATTACTTTCATACTCTTCTATTTTAGAAAAAAAGAATAAACAAAATATATAAAAACCAAGCCCTGTGATCTATTCATCCACTGTCTGAACCAACTGGAACTCTGCACCACTAAGCTGCTCTGCTTCAGCTTCTGAACCCTCC